ATACCACACATTTTTCTTTACAAGTGGGAGCTAAACACTGAATAGACACAGGCACAAAGATGGGAACAACAGACACTGGAGACTTCTAAAAGGCAAGGGAGCTAAGGGTTGAAAAATTACCAGTGGGATACCATGGTTGTGTGATGAGCTCAATAGAAGTCCAAACCTCACCATCACAAAATATACCCATGTAACAAACCTGCACATGTACCCCTAGAATCTAAAAAACAAAAACTTTTAAGTTGTACTAAAATATACATAACATTAAATTTAGTGCTTTAACCATTATTAAGTGTACAATTTAGTGGCATTAAGTACATTCACAATATTGTATAATCATCACCACCATCTATTTCCGGAACATTTTCATCATCCCAAACAGAAACTCTGTACCCATTAAGCAATAACTCACCATTTCTCCCCTTCCTCAGCCCTTCATAACCTCTATTCAACTATCTGTCTCTATGAATTTGCCTATTATAAGTAGCTCATATATGTGGAATCATATTTGTCCTTTTACTTCTGGCTAATTTCACATAACATTATGGTCTCAAGGTACATCTGCGTTGTAGCATATATCAGAATGTCATTCCTTTGTGTATGTGTGTTTTTAAATTGTGGTAAAATATACATAACGAAAATTTGGCTAGCCTCTAACTCCTGGGCTCAAATTCTACTCCCACCTCAGCTTCCCAATTAGAAGGGACTACAGGTGTGTGCCATCACAACCAACTAATTTTTTAATTTTTTGCGGAGATGGGGTCTTAATATTGTCCAGCCTTGTCTTGAATTCCTGACCTGAAGCTATGCTCTTTCCTCTGCTTCCCAAAGTGCTGAGATTATAGGCATGAGCACTGTGTCCAGTCTATATTATTATTGTCACAGATGATATTTTTATACATGGTATGCCAATTAACATAAATGTATGATTATTGTTTTATGCATTTGCCTTTTAACTCATATAGGAAAAAGAGAGATGTTAGATACAAACTAAAAGTATGTTAATTCTGGCTTTTTTTTTAAAGTTGCTTAATATTTATTTAGTTAGTTCTTAAAAGGGCACTCCCTGATCCAGTCATCATCCATGGCATTATCATAACCACCTTCTGTTCTGTGGCTTCTTTTAGTGCACACATTATATCACATTTCTTTTTTTGGGGGGGGGTTCTCACTCTGTCACCTAGGCTGGAGTGCAGTGGCATGCTCACGGCCACTGCAGCCTCTACTTGCTGGGTTTAGGGGATACTTCCGCTTCAGCCTTCCAAGAAACTAGAACTACAGACGCACGCCACCATACTAGCTAGTTTTTGTGATTTATTGTAGAAACGAGGTCTCACCAAGTTGCCCAGACTGGTCTTGAACCCCCAGGCTCAGGCAATCTTCTTGCTTCGGCCTCCCAAAGTGCTGGGATTACAGGCTGAGCCACTGTGCCCGACCTATATCACATTTCTTGCTGAAGTTCAGACGGTTGAAAATAAACAGATTGACATCTGGAAAATCAACAAACCAATAATGGAAAAACATAATACCCTGAAATGGAAAAATAGAATGTTTGTTCCAGGAGCGCAGGATAGTGTCTCAGGAGTGTGGCTCATTGGCAGAGCCGTCTGCTGTCTTCCCAGTGGCTGGCAGCAGCCAGCCTTCCTTGAATGGGTACCTAGGAGGCACATCCTTGAGTCTACCACACACTCGATTTGGGTGTAGAGGGACATATTTATGTGGTTTGTCCACTCCTGTATAAGGTTAACTTGTTGCTCTTGTACGGGACAATAAGCTAGGAATGTAGCTTCTCGGAAAATCCTGTCAGTCAGGACAGACGTGCAAAATACTATTTCAATAGGAACCTACCCCACAGTGCCCAACACAGGAAAAAATATGAGCCATGGAGAAAAAAGAAGATTTGAAATGTGTGGAGCTAAGAGTTCATCTGTGGAAAATTCTTCCAAATCTCATAGATCCTATATGAAAGAAAGCTGATGACAGTTTCCCAAATTGACAAAAATTTAGAACATTTATGTGACACCATCAATAACAGGTTAGGAAGTAAAATAACTTTCCTAAACCATCAATAATTAAAACAGGCTGGTGTGGTGTCTCAAGCCTGTAATCCCAGCACTTTAGGAGGCCAAGGTGAGAGGTGAGAGGATTTCCTGAACCCAGGGGTTAGAGACCAACCTGGGCAACATGGTGAGAACTCATCTCTACAAAATCAAAAAATAAGTTGGGCATGATAGCACGTGCCTGTAGTTCCAGCTACTTGGAAGGCTGAGGCGAAAGGATCACCTGAGCCCAGCAGTCGAAGTTGCAGTGACTGTGAGTGTGCCAATGCACTCTGTCTGGGCAACAGAGTGAGACTCCAACTCAAAAAAAATTTTTTTAAATATGGCTGGGCGTGGTGGCTCAAGCCTGCAATCCCAGTACCTTAGGAGACTGAGGTGAGAGGAGCCTGAACCCGTGGGTTCAAGACCAGCTTGGGCAACTTGGCGAGATCTCATCTCTACAATAAATCAAGAAAAATTAGCTGGGTGTGGCGGCATGTGCCTGTAGTTCCAACTACTTGAAAGGCTGAGGTGCAAGAATCACCTGAGCCCAGCAGGTAGAGGCTGCAGTCGCTGAGGGCATGCCACTGCACTCCAGCCTGGGCGACAGAGTCAGACTCCAACTCAAAAAACAAACAAAAAAAATGGAAAATAAATAAATAAAATTTTAAAATAATTAAGACAAATTTCAATTATATTAGAAGTAAGACTGGGCCGGGCTCGGTGGCTCAGCTTGCAATCCCAGCACTTTGAGAGGCCGAGGCGAGTGAACTGCCTGAGCCCACAGGTTCAAGAGCAGCCCGGGCAACTTGGCGAGACCTCATCTCTACAATAAATCAAAAATTAGCCAGGCATGGTAGCGTGTGCCTGTAGTTTCAGCTACTTGGAAGGCTGAGGTAGAAAGATCACCGGAGCCCAGCAGGTCAAGGCTGCGGTGGCCAGGAGCATGCCACTGCACTTCAGCCTGTACAACAGAGGGAGACTCCAACTCAAGAAAAAAAAAAAGAAGAAGAAAGACTGAATTAACTTTTATTCTTGGTATGGAAAATACTCCCCCCCCTAAAAAAAGGTACAAAGTTCTTGTCTTTTCTTTTTGAGTTGGAGTCTCCCTCTGTCGCCCAGACTGGAGTGCAATGGCATGCTCACGACCACCCCAGAGTTGACCTGCTGGGCTCTGGTGATCCTTCCACCTCAGCCTTCCAAGTAGCTGGAATTACAGGCGTGCATGTCCACGCCCAGCTAATTTTTTGATTTTTATTGTTGAGACGAGGTCTCACCAAGTTGCCCAGGCTGGTCTCAAATCTGCAGGCTCAGGCAGTCCTCTCGCCCGGCCTCCCAAAGTGCTAGGATTACAGACTTGAGCCACCGCGCCTGGCCCCAAATTCTTGTCTTATGTAGAGACCATCAAAGTAAGAAGCTGAACAATGCAGAGAAAAGCACTACAGAAATATGTCAGAAAGGCACTACAACAAATATGCTATTTTTCTGGAATTAGTATTGTAGTATTTGTCAAATAAAAAAAATTTAATTTGTTGGTTGGGCACAGTGGCTCATGCCTGTAACCCTAGCTCTTTGGGAGGCCGAGAAAGGAGAATTGCTTGAGCTGGGGAGTACAAGATCAGCCTAGGGAGCATAGTGAGATCTCATCTCTAAAAAAAAAAAAAAAAATTGCAAAAAATTAGCCGAGTGTGGTGGCACATGCCTGTAGTCCCAGCTACTTGGGAGACTAAGGTGGAAGGATCGCCTGAGACCAGAAGGTTCAGGCTGGGGTAAGCTATGATCATGCCACTGCACTCCAACTTGGGTGACAAATCCTGACTCAAATTTTTTTTTTTTAATTTGTCACCATTTATTTTCTCATTATTTTCAAATAATGTTGTATTCTTTTTCTAAAACAGGGACCCTAAAAATGCAGCTGTCTCAAGCCCAACTCAACCTTTATCACCCATGGCAGAAGGAAGGAAGGTTTGGGAAGGTTCAGCCCTCACTCCTCTTCCAGGGGCCTTGAAGCAAAGACCACTGAGGCACCAGAGTGTTTGAGACAGCCATAAAAAGAAAGGCGTTAGGGCTGCCTGCCTGGCCCCAAGCTGGGGCTGCTGGGCCTGAGCTGGGAGCTGGGCAAGAGCCAAGGGTCTGAGGAGTGGTTGCTATTGGAGACTCAGAGCAGTGACCTTTTGGGGGAGGACCTTGCAGGGACAAGGAAGAAAGAAACTGGAGCTAGTTGCTTTTTGGTGGCAGGACTAAAGTCATGAGGACAGCTCCCCTGTCAATCTCCCTGAGATGGTAACAAGGGTAGAGCAAAGGGGTGGGTGTGGTCCCCACAGTGACTGGGGGCCCAGGGCTCTCCGTTCCCCATCAGAGATGAGTGGATCTGGTCCCAATCTCACCACTGCCCACCTCCTCTGTCTCCTCAGCTGACCGGGCCCTCCTTGGCTCCCCCTGTGCACTGGAGAAGTCCATGACCCTCACTTGGCACTTGAGGCCTTTTACGACTGGGCACTGCTCCCCTTGTCCATGTGCATGGAGCAGCAAACACAGCACATGACTTTTGCTCAGGAAACCTCCACCTGGAGTTTGCTTCCCCATACCCACCTCTCCTCAGGACTCAGCCAGGTTGTCAGCTCCTCTGGACAGCCCTCCCTGAGCCACCCAAATCTGCCCCAATGTCCTCTTCCACCGTACTGGGGGTCCCCAGGTATTGGTGAGGCCAGAGGAGCAGTTGTGTTGTAGGGGATCCTTAGGGAGGGCCAGGTGTTAGGGGTGATGGAGCGATGTGAGCCAGCCTGGGCCCCAGCTGCCATTCATCCTAGACACCAATTCCCCAACAGGTCTGTTGGCTCTAAGAGCAGAAGAGGACACAGGGTCCAGACAGCCCTGGAGAGAACAGACACACACGCTCAAGCGCTGGCCCAGAGCCTCAGACCATCCCCAGCCCCACTGGCCATCAGACAGAGAAGCATGTGTTTGGTCACCCACTTTGGGTGGGAGTCCCCTTTATTTGGATTTGCTGCTGGGAAGCTAAACGCTGTAGGTGGTCCTCCATGTAGACCAGGAGGGCATCCAGCATGTGCAAAACCCCACGGAGGAGGGCACGGTCCGAGGTTGGGGTCCGCCGTCTCCAAGCTCCACAGGGGCCAGCGGTCACCTGTGGACGCTGAGAATAGGACCAAGAGGCAGAAGTGAGAGTGGAGGGACGGGATGAAGGTGGTGCAAGGGGCAGCAGTGGAGCTAAGGAGAAGGGTGTGGAGGAAGTACCAAAGGGGATGGGAAGAAGACTTAAAGTAATGAGGATTGCTGAGGGTCTGTTGTGGACTGGAGTGGTCTTGGGGCCCATGGGGATTAGATAAGAGTAAGAGTACTAAAAGGGGACAGATGGGCCCAGGGTACTGGCTGTGGGTGGTGGATGCAGGGGCAATGGGCTGTGAGCTAGGGGAGAGGCAGGAGACCCACAAGCCACAATGTGGGCCGATGGGGCAGGGTTGGCTGGAGGACATGGGTCCAGCAGGTGTAAGTGGAGGCAGGAGCTGTGAGGGAGAGGACAGCTGTACTCACCTGACCCTTGGCAGCCTGTGACCGCCGTCGCTGCAGCACCATGCGGCTGATCACCAGCATCATGGTGGTGACTGTGACCCCAGCCACAGGGTAAATGCGGTTCTCTCCCAGGCCTATCCAATAACCAGGACAGCCCAGGCTAGTCCTGCAGTCCTCCATACTGTTTGGCTGGCACCCCCAAGGCTGCAAGTCCAGTCCCACCTGGTACCAGAGGGGCCGAGACCAGGCATGGGTGGGGGCAGACATCACCAGCAGGAGCAGCAAGGGCAGCAAGGACAGCATGTGTAACATGGCCATGGCTGGTGCCAGGGGCCACTGTCAAGGACCGGAACTCGGGTGCCTGGCAACGGGCAAACACCCCTCCCCCAGGAGCAGACTTGACTCAGGTAGCTGGGTCCATGGCCTTTTGTGAGGTAGCCTGGGCAGAAATTGGGTGGGGTAGGGGGCTGGGCTCCAGGGCTGGAGAGAGAATGGCAGGCCTGGGTCCTGGGTCCCACTCTCCCAGATGGCCTGGCCAACCTAGCACTGAGAGAGTACCTCCTCCCCCCACCTCATCTACCAACCAACCCATAAAATCCAAACGCCCCACAGCCCTTATAGCCTGCGGCTCTCCACCAGGAGCAGCCCCTCCCCCAGGCAGACCAAGCACAGTGCCACCAAGCCACTCAATGGTGCCCTACACCTGCCTCAACCCACAGTCCACATCGCAGCAGGGTGAGTGCTCAAAAATGTGGGGTTAAAACACCTGTGGGTAGCTCCCCTCACTGTCAGAATGAAGCCTGAAGGATCCTGCTGGCCTGTGAGGTCTTCTGGCCCACTCACCTCTGCCCATGCTGCCCCTGCCTTGCAAAGACCTTCCTGAACATACCTGCTGCTGGCTGTGCCAGGAGCACTGCTCCCCACTCCTGGAAAGTCACCTCCTTCTGGCTGGAGTTTCAGTTCAAGAGTCCTGAGCCTCCCTCCCATGACCATCTTGGGTAACACAGTCCCTTCTCTCTCACATGACCCTGCTTTATTTTCTTCAAAGCCTTTCTAATCTAGTTGCAATCTCTTGTTCAAGGTCTGCTTCCCAGTTCATCACTTAAACTTCATTCAACCAATATTTACCGTGTAGCTGCCAGGCACCATTCTTGGTGCTGGAACATGGCATGATAGCATAGACAAAACACTCTGATTTCCTGGGCTGAGCATCTGGTGGGGGTGGACAGTGCCAGGCACTGACACAGCCATGATAAAACACTGGGCAAGGGTCTCTCTGTGATTTGGAGGGCAAGGAAGTCTTTGTCCCCTCTGACCGTGCCCAGTGCCTAGCACAGAACCTGACACCTGGTCAGTACCTGATAAACAACAAAGCTCATATGTTTTGAGCAGGGGGCCTAAATCCAACATTGTTCTGGGTGGTTTTTTTTGTTTTTTGTTTTTTTAGTTGGAGTCTCACTCTATCGCCCAGGCTAGAGTGCAGTGGCACTCACGGCCACCCCAGCATCAACCTACTGGGCTCTAGCAATCCTTCTGCCTCAGTCTTCCAAATAACTGGAACTACAGGTACACCCCAGCACACCTAGTTAATTTTTGATTTATTGTAGAGACAAGGTCTCACCAAGTTGCCCAGGCTGGTCTCGAACCCACAGGCTCAGGTAATCCACTCGCCTAGGTCTCCTAAAGTGCTGGGATTACAGACTGAGCCACCAAGCCTAGCCACATTTCCTCTTTTAATACTCACTGACACTCCACTAAGTGAATACTGCTACCATTCCTGATCTACTGATGAGCATACTGAGGCCCGGAAAGATCCAGCCCATCTACCCCTCCCCTGCTATCAGCATTGTCAGCTAGGTTGAAGCCCCACTGCTCGCTGGGCCACATGCCTAGATGTTGGCCTTTTTTCTTTTGAGATAGAGTCTCACTCAGTTGCCCAGGTTGGAGCACAGTGGCACAATCACAACTCACTATAGCCTTGACCTCCTAGGCTCAGGAAATCCCCCTGCCTCAGTGTCCTGAGTACCTGGAACTATAGGAGGAGCACGCCACCATGTCTGGTCAATATTTTTTATTTTTTGTAGAGACGATGTCTTGCTGTGTTATCCAGGCTGGTCTCAAATTCCTGGGCTCAAGTAATCCTCCTGCCTTGGCCTTTCAAAGTGCTGGGATTACAGGCATGAGCCCTGCACCTGGCCAATGTTAGCATTTAATGGCCCAAATCAACACCTGCTTTCTGCTTGACAGTGCTCTGTCAAGCCTGGGTGACCTGTCTGAACTGGTGTTCTTCACCAGTACATTGATCATGCTTCTTCTTCTTCTTCTTCTTTTTGAGTCAGAGTCTGTCATCCAGGCTGGAGTGCAGTGGCACGCTCATGGCCACTGCAGTCTCAGCCTGCGGGGCTCAGGCAATCCTTCTGCTTCAGTCTTCCAAGTAGCTGGAACTACAAGTGTGCACCACACCCAGCTAATTTTTTGACTTATTGTAGAGACAAGGTCTTGCCATGTTGCCCACGTTGATCTCGAATCCATGGGCTCAGGCAATTCTCTCACTTCCACCTTCCAAAGTGCTGATATTACAGACATGAGCCTCTGTGCCCGGCTTTATTCTTTTTAAATACAGACCAAGTCAGGCGCAGTAGCACATGCCTGTAATCCCAGCACTTTGGGAGGCAGAAGTGAGAGGATTGCCTGAGCCCCGGGGTTTGAGATCAGCCTGGGAAACTTGGTGAGACTTCGTCTCTACAATAAATCAAGAAAAACTAGCTAGGCATGGTGGCCACGCCTGTAGTTCCAGCTACTTAGAAGGCTGAGGCAGAAGGATCACCTGAACCCAGTAGGCTGAGGCTGCGGTGGCCATGAGAGTGCCACTGCACTCCAGGCTGGGCAACAGAGACTCTGACCCAAAATAAATAAATAAATACAGACAGACAGACCAGAAGTACTGGTGAACAGCAGCTGCTTGATCAAATATTCACTCTGCATCTTCCAGGGGCTGCCCAGTGGCACCTGTGCCTTATCAGGTAACCCTGACAAGCAGTTCTGATTCCAGTTTTTTTACAGCAAAGGATCTGGGGCTATGAATGGTTGGGGAAAAACTTGACTCTCAGATGCTCCCACAGCTCTCCTGCTGTGTGCTCTGCCAGTCTGGGCTTGACCTCTCCAAACCTCCCCAACTTCTGACCCCAGTCTCTACCTCGGGGCACAGGAAAAGTCAGAAGCCAGAGCTATGGACCACATGTCACCAAGCCTCCACCAAGCCACAGCAGGGCCCGGAGCTGGGCAGAGAAATCTTTATTCCTGAGGCTAAAAATACATATCGGATCCCTCTTTGCACCCGGCCAGTACTAGCTTTTCTTTAGCACCCTGTCCCAGGCCTGGAGCATTGAACTTGGGAGTCACAGGACCTCGATCCCTGAGTTGTATGTATATGTGTGCATGGAGGGGACTCCTGGGTGGCATCTGAAGGCGGCCCAGGGGTTGGAGGCTTTTCAAGGCTGCCCCATCACAACCTCCAGAAGTGGGTAATCTCAGGCAGGGTGGCAGCATGGTCAGAGTTTGGTGACCTGAATTGGCAGAGAAGGGGAAACTCAAGTCAGTTTCCAAAGTACACATACCAGACCCCCACCCTGGGAAAGCAACCCTTGTCCTAGGAGCAGCTTTATCCAAAGACAGGAGAAAGCAGCAGGTCCACCGGGGGCAGAGCCATGGTAACCAGGATAGACTTCCTGGAGCTGGGTCCGCGTGAAGACAAGGAATAGCTTAACAAAAAGGAGCTCAGTGGGCCAGAGATCAGCTCACCAAAACAGGGCTGATGGAGCCAGACCTTGGGTGCTGGAGGGCAAAGGTGACAGCATCATGGACAGAGGCAAAGAGATGCTTCTTGGTGATAGATGCATTGAAGAAGTGCCCATCCTCAAGCTGGGTGATCACAGGGCCTGTAGGCAAGGAGTAGGCCTCCCCTGACTCTTAGAACTACCAGACCCCATCACCCTTCACCTTCACCCGAGGCTACCACTTGACCTTAGTCACTCCTGACCCTTGACTCCTGCCTCCCAAGACACCTCTGGCCTCCACTTTCAGAGAGGGACTTTTTTTTCTGTGTTGGCTGGCAAACCTCTTGGCCTCAAGAGTCCCGCCCTCTTCCCAGACCCCTCCTGCTGTCCCCACCCCACGCACTGTGGCAGGCCGCCAGGTACACCTCCACCTCGATCTCCCGGAAGTCACAGAAAATCTGCAGCAGAAAAGGGGCCAAACTCAGAGAGGGAATACGGACAGGCTTATGGAAGGGAGTTTAGAAGGGAAGTTTGGAGGGTCTGGGGAGTCAGAGGTTCAGAGCAAACCCAGGGTAAATTATAGAGACAGTGTGGAGGCTTGAGGGGCCTTGGCCTGCCCTTGGCTCCTCACATTCTTCAGACTCTTGAGGCACACAGTGTCTACAAAGGAGAGGGCACTCAGGTCCAGGATGAGGCTATGGAAGTCTGGCTGAGGAAGGCCCAGAGTCTCCAGCATGGACACGTCTGGGTCTTTGGCATCTTCTTGACCACTGGCTGCTGTGTCCTCCAGCTTGTCCCCTGGGTTCACCTGCTGAGGAACCAGACCTACTGCAAGGGCCACCCATAAGGGATGAAGGCAGGGAATGCACACAGACATGTGGGGACACTCAGGGTCAGATGTGGGAGCTTGCATGGGACAACCACATATATGGGGGCATGCACAGGACACAAGAGGACACAGACATACGTATGCAAAGACAAGAAGGACAGACACATGGGAACACACAGGAGAGCACACCCAGAGCATACACTGCTCTGCCACCTCCTAGGCCCAGGCTTAATTAGGGACACAAGAAGGGATGGTACTGGGAGGCTGTGTCCCATCTTCAGGGTGGGGGCCCAGGGGTAGACCAGAATAGACAGATGCATTCATGTGCACACACTACACACAGACACCTTGCCACCCTGCCCTGTCTGAGTCTCAGATTGAGCTTAGCATCCCCTCTGATCCTGGACTTTTTTTGAGATGGGATCTCACTACATTGTCCATGATGGAGTGTAGTAGCTATTCACAGAAATGACACTGACACTATACTTGAGCCGTGAACTCCTGGGTTCAAGGGATCCTTCTTCCTCAGCCTCCCAAGAAGCTGAGACCACAGGCACACACCACTGTAACTGCTTTGAGCCCTAGATTTTTTCACGTACACCCAATCCGTTCCCTCTACCCAGAGTACAGACTGTGGAGTCTTGTGGCATCTACAAATTCAAGGTCTTCATCGAGGCCTGTGAGGCTAGGCAAGAGAGCCACAAGCAGAATTCTATGGCACATCACTAGAGAACTCCCCACAGAGCATTCTTCCTGCCACTGACACAACACCCTCACCCCTCAGCTGGTGGGTCCACAGCTTTCCTCATGAGCATGTGTAGGCACTCACATCTCTGCAATTCACAGCAGACCCATCCTCTCCTACCTCTTGCCTCCCCTCAGCCTTGGAGTCCTCCACATTATTGCTCTCGATGTCTTCCAGGCTGGTGTTGACATTAGTGAAAACTGAGGTGCCCTTGGAGGAGGCGTCCTAGGTCAGGGAAGAGAGGGGATGGGAAAGAGCTATCCCAGCTGCCACGACAACCATGACAGCAGGGTATCACCCCCTGGCTTTGGGCAGGTGGGCAGGCCAGGACTTGAAGCTGAGGGACCTGGGGCAGCCAAGCTGAAGGCTGCAGGGTTCTGACCAGTTACAGGAACAGATGTAAAATAGAAGGGGACTGTGATGGTTCATGCTGTCACTGTTTTAGGTGATGGGAGGAAAACAAAACACCTACAGCCTTGACCTGCCAGGGGAGTGAAGTAGGGTCCCTGGGCACATGAGGGAGAAAAGAGGAGGGACAACATGAAGACGAGGAGTCAGGAGGGTAGAAGAAAGGCTAGGGTGGGGAGCAGTGGAGCAGAGGCCAATAGCAGGACAGGGGACAGGGGTCAGGGGAAAGGTTGGCTGGGGTCAACGGCAGGGCAGAGGGCAGCAGCAGGGCAGGGCCAGGGGTCATCAGAAAGGGGCCCCTGCCTGTTTCTGGAGTTGTTTCTCTTTCTGCAGTTGCTTCAATTTCAGCTGCTCCTGCTTCTTGAGCAGCTGCTTCTTCTGGGAGATGAGGAGGTCAACGTCCACCCCACACTAGAGACGGATGCCAGAGAAGGGAGCATGGGTGCTCCAGGGGGGTGATACCCTCTGACCCCCACCCTGGGGACCCTGTGCCTTACCCTCTGCTTCAGCGCATCACTGTAGAACTCAGCATTGGCAAAGTACACGGTTGCCGAGGAGCGGAAGACCTTCACGCCAGGGACCTCCCTGGCCTGGGGATGGGGTAGGGTTGGGGTGGCTGAGTTCTTCGCTCTCTTGGCTACATCTTGCTCTCCTGTCTTTTCTTCCTGGGAGTGCCCAGTGCCTGCCACTGCCTGACCCTCTGTTCCCCAGCCTGTGGCCCATGCCCTTACAGGGGATTGGGTCACTAGCCTGGTAGTGTCATTCCAACCCTCCTCCTGCTCCTTCATCCCTGCCCAGATCCTTAGCAGACGTATCAGGATGTTCTCCAGGGCACACCCAGCACCTCTTCCTCCCTACCTCTCCCATCCTTCAGTCACCACCCAGGCCAAGTTTCAGAGGCTCTTAGCCCTCCTCTTGGGTGTCCAACCTGCCCTGCAGTCTGTTTTCTGCATGCAGAGGCCCTCCTAAGTTATCATCCCACCCAGACCCTCCTTGGCTCCCCACCATTCAGGACACAGCAGGACTCTACTTGGCATTCATGCCTGAATGATATAGCAACCCCCTTTTCATCCAGCTGGGCTGCTCACCTCACATCCTCTTCCACATCTTAGATCCCTTGGCTCCTCCCCTCATTCTGCCTGATCACACTGTGCTCAGCCTTCAAGGATCCATGTTGGGGAGAACTGGTTTATTTTATTCTGCAGCCCCCACCTATGTTCCCAGAACTTGGCACAAGACTTTTCAGGGGTAAATGACTTAGTAACCCCATCGATCAGGTCAGGAAACAGCCTCCCCCACATCTTGGTGCTGCCGGACTCTGTCACTCTGGCACTCTGATCTAGGGCTGCCCTGAAGAATGGGGCTTATGCCACTAACTCCAATACAGACCCACCCCCAGATCCAACTCTGCCACTCTTCCCTGGTCCCTTCATAGTTCCCTTACCCCTAGTAGGGGGTCACAGACCCAAACTCCTCCCTTGAAATTCCAAGGACCAAAGCCAAAGTGTCCTCAGCCCCCAGTGTCCTGACCACATATGGAAGGGACTGACAAAGGCTCATTCTGTCTCTGTCCACCCCACCCACGTCATCCTCCTGGTCAGCCCCTGGCACTCACCTCTGAGTATTCTGTCACATCTCTGTAAATATCAGTGTCGGGCAACTGCCCCAGGACAGAGTAGTGGGGCCTGTGGAGGAGAGTGAGTACAAGAAGGGGGAAAAAAGGGGGACAACAAGGGGATCTAAAGGAGCCTGAGGTCCCCAGAGATGTTGGGGAAAGCTGGGGGGAACCCATTTTAAACTTCTTCACAATTGGAATTGAGGGGACTGACATGGTTGACTTACAACTGCGTCCGGACCACCACGAGCAGCAGGGAGAAGACGACTGCAACTGCCAGGCCAAGGTCCAGGTTCAGCAGGATGGTGGCCACAAAGGTGACCAGCCAGATGAGCTGAGAACAAAGGGCAGTGATCAAAGAGTAGAGAGACACCACTGGAGCAGAGGGACACCACTGGAGCAGAGGTCCTCAGTCCCGGGCCTGGGCTCTCGGTCTCTCACCAGATCCGCTCGATTGGCCTTCCAGAGGGAGCATACATCAGTGACCTGCATCAGCATGCCCTTGAGGTTCACAATAACGGTGGCTGCCAGGACTGCCTGGTATGGAGAAGTGCCACCAGAGACTGATGAGAAATGCCCAGATGCTAACAACATGACCACCCAAGCGTGACACAGACTGACCCCAAGCACCTGGATAGAGCCCAACTGATACTACCTACCACCCATCCCTTGACCCTACCAGCCTGTATCTGACTCTGAAGGGTTCTAACCCCAAACTCTTGACTCCAAATCTCACCCCAAAGAGTTCATCTTGGAAAACAGGACATAACCTTGTAGCCCCACCCCACACCTGGAACTAGACTGATTGATCTGAGTCGCTGGCCTGGCCAAGAACCTGAAGCCTGGTGGGTGGGATGGGGCTCACCTTGGGCAGGTCTTGGAAGAGTTCCCCAAGTTTGACGATAATAAGGAGAATGAAAAGGGAAGAGATGGCTCCAGCAACCTGAGGGTGGGGTCAGACAGGGGTGAAGAGGCAGGGAGAGGGAGTGAACAGGGGGTGGGGGCAAGCAGGAGTAGGGGGAGCAGGGAGTGGGGGTGAGGAAGGGTGGAAATACAGGGAGTAAGGAAAAGCATAAGAGTGGGGGCAGTTTAGGGGGTGGAGCAAGCAGAGATGAGACCACCCAGGCAAAGCCGAGTGCATACCCACCCCCATGCCTGCCCCCAACGCCCACCTGTGTGTTGCCCCCGGCGCTCTCCTGTACCAGGCTTCGAGACATAGAACAACTCACGGGGAAGCACTGGAAGATGCCCCCAATGAGGTTACTGAAGCCGAGGGCCACCAGTTCCTGGGGGGAGGGTTGGATGTGAGACTTCTTGAAAGTGCCTGATCACTGTTCCACTGTATCTAGGCCTGTGTAGTCCCAACCTCTATCTCCACCCAACAACCCCTGAAGACTAGGTGCTGTCCCACACATTCTGTTCCCCATACTCAACCCCCACACGGTCCCAGCACATCTGCTGTTTCTGTCTGTGTCCAGCGCCCCACTGGATCCTCCCTCCCCTAGCTGCTAGGCCTCTGCACTCCTGTATGACTCCTCCAAATCCCATATCACCCATACCTGGTTGCTGTCCACCCGGTAGCCATGCTTCAGGGCGAAGATCTTTCCCAGAGAGATGGCAATGGCGAACCCAACCACAGCGATGGCAAAGGCATTGCCCACAAGTTTTGCGAAGAGCTGGGGGTTGGGGGCCACTGGGGGCACCAGCCTGTGAGAGGCATCTGTGAGGCCAAAGGAAGGTCCTGGCCTTGTGGCCCAACTCTTCCTGACCTGACGGGGGCCAAACTCACCCTGCGGTGATGTTGCCCACAACATCTACCCTAAATCTGTGCTTCAGGTCCATGCCGTAGGAGATGCCTGTGGCTCCAATGAGCTGTGGGAGAGGACGGAGTCAGGGGACAGAGGTGCTGGCATCATCATCGGGGGATGGATAAACACTCTGGGATAAAGAGGGAGACACTTGGGCAGAATCTTCTTTAGAGGACTGAGGAGGAGTCATCCACAGAGACAAGACACCATTTTCGGCAAGGAGAGATACTGTTGGGGGCAGCATGAGACTAACATGGGGTTTTCCGCTATGGTTTCCCAATACCCAGGAACCCTCCCCAGTGCCCACTCCAGTTGGTTCTCAAAAACCTGGAGGCTGCCCACATGGCAGGGACCCATCCTGCCTGCCCTTCTCCCCTGCCCTCCATCCCCTAGCACCCGAACCGTGAGCAGTTCCCCAGGTATCGGCAGGGGCAGATGCCGCTGCAGCTTGTCGTTCAACAGCTTCATCACCACAAGCGCCACCCCTGCCACGGCTGCGGTGACCACGGTGCCGACCACCATCTGGGGAAGCTTCTGGCAGACCTCTAGCACTGTCTGAGGAGAGGCGAGGTCACAGCCAGTACTCAAAGCTGTGGGGCACACCAACCCATCCTCCTCCCACCCTCACTCACATAGATGAGGGACAATGGCCCAGAGCGGCTGCTCAGACGGAGGCCAAACACATATTTGAGCTGCGAGACGAAGACCTGCACAGATGCAGCTGTGGTATAGCCACGGACCAGAGGCTCTGACAGGTAGGTGACCACGAAGCCGAAGTAGACCAGGCCCAACCCCACCTAGAGGGGCAGTCAGGGGAGGCAGAGGTGGCTGAAGTAGGGCCCAGGGCAAGTAGGAACAGAAGGGGATGAGGGGATAGTAAGAGGAGGAGGACCATGACAGTCAGACACTCAGAGAAACTGTAGACGGGAATGGTGGGCAGGGAGCAGGAGGAGGGAAGCACATACTCCTGACTGTTCCATACCTGGAAGAGGCCAACCAGGACGCTGAGCGTGGAGGCCAGCTGCACCCGGTCGGCATCTCTGGCTGCCTCACTGACTGTGGAGTTCAAGGCCTCATCCGGGTACAGGGATTCTGTTACACTGCCCACCATCACAGACATGACAGCAAAGGTCCCTGCAGGGACAGGTTAGGGCAGGTCTGAAGGGGAAAGGACATTGCCCTTCCCTGGAGCCCTGGTCTTAAGAGACAGGCCAGAAGACATCCAGTTCTGGACAAATATCCTCAGACTATGGTTATACAAGTGGGGTAGTGCTGGCAGTTAGGTATGGCCAAGGTCAGGAGTGAACTCTGAGCTCACGGGCTCTTAAGCGTGGCTAGAAATGCTGGCCCTGCATTATCTACCCTGCCCTACCTGACTTCACTGGCCCAGAGACACAGAGGCTCTCTGTGGAGTGAGGAAGGGGTCAGGGCCTGCTCATAGTGGTCAGGCTCTGCCAAGTTCTGAGCTCCTCGAGCTGCCTCACCCACTCACATCTTCCTAGAGGCAGGGCTTTGGGGATACCCTGAATCTGTGGTTCTATGGTCAGCAGCCTAGTCTTGCCTGGGGATGACTCTTGAGCTAGCTCCCTAGTCACCCCGCACCAATGCTGCAATCTTTCCTAGGCTCTCCTGCCCTGCTCAGCTCTCCCTTACCCTATCCTTCATGGCAGATGTGGGTATCCTCCCAGAAGGCTAGGCCTAACTCTACTTACCCACAGAGATGTGCCGGGAAGTACCAAACAGGAAATAGATGAAGACAGGGTAGAAGGAACTGTAGAGGCCAAACACGGGAGGCAATCCAGCCAGAAGGGCATAGGCCAAGCCTAGAGGTGGAATGGTAGCAAGCAGGCCTAGAGGCCAGGGTCTCAAAAGGATTGGAGAATCCCAGCCCTGGGTCAGGCACCACAGTTCCAAGATCACAGGTCATGATTCCAGGTTTAGGGGTCATAGACCAGAGGGCTTACAGGCCAAGGTCTTGAAGGTAGCTCACCCTGTGGAAGCTGCATGATAGCCACACTCAGGCCAGCTATCAAGTCACCCAGGAGCCAGTCACGCACGGGGTACCGGGGTAACCAGACTAAAACTGGGAGGTGTTGGAACAGAAGGGCACGGGCCCGGGCCTGGGAGCACCTGCGGACATGAGGGGTAGGTATCAGGGACAGGAGCTACCTGGGCTCTACCAGTACCCCAGGATCCCTACTCTTGGTCTTACCGCAACCAGATTCGCCACTGGCGGGTCCTAGGCACTGAGCCCCAGTGCCCCAGCTCCTCCAGCTTCTCCTGGTTCAGCAGTGGCCGTTCCACATGGTAGTCTCGCCTCCGCAGCTCCACTGACTGTGATGCAGACAACAGTGCCTGCGTGTCCCTTGGTCTGGGGTGGCAAGACCACAGAGATACAGTGGGGCACCACTGGTCCAACCTCTCCCACATGGCACCTGGGACCAGTGAGTGACTCACCTAATCTTTCCAGGCCCCAAGATTAAGGTACAGTGTATCCAGACCAGCTGGCCCCGGTAGGCCCCTTGCCCCCATCCAGGTAGGGGTATTACCTGAATTTTGGCTGATGGAAGCCTTTTTCTGGGTCAAAGTCCCCAAAGAAGGGACAGCTGGATGAGCACAGCAGGATAAGCACCATCCACACCTCCAGCCCTGAGTGTTCTACCAGTTCAAATCCCCTGACCACCCCTCCTAGTCCCCTTTCTCCCACCTCCTTGCCTTCCCTAGCCAATCCCTGAGTCCAGGCCCTGAGTCTTGATCCAGCTGCCCCAGGAGTCCAGTATGGGCTGTCTGAGAGCACACTCAGGGAAGGGATCCAGCAAACCAGGGGTCCAGCTCTTCAAGCAACTCCCTCTCCAAGCCTCAGTCCTCCAGAAAAGATGAGACCCTTCCCCTCCAAGGGAGGAAAAGTGTTGGGGCCAGCCCCTGGGTCTCCAACCCCAGGGTCAGGTTATAGATAGCTCAGGCCTAGTCTGGGGAAAGTCAAGGGATGGCTCTCACTTGAGAAGTGGGTCTTTTCTGGAGCAGAAAGCTCTCACCCAGAAGGAGAGCTTCCCATGTGGTAAGGGAAGAGCTCACTTGAAGTGAGGGAAAGAGTTCACCTGGAAATAGGAGCTCTCAGGGACAATCTCACCTAGAGGGAACTCTGAACTGCCAGGAAAGCTTTACCAGCCAGGCAATTTCTGACATAGGGGAACCTCTCATCTGCCTAGTGGCTTCTAATTAGAGTCAAAGAAAGACCTCATATCTGGGAATAGGAGAGCTGGGGAAGTTCCCATATTTAATGAGAAAAGCTCATACTTGGGAATAGATCTCACAGGAGGATTCTTGCCTGGGGGGAAGCTCTAGAATGTTGGGGAAGCTTTCACTTGTCAGGAAAGTTCTGATCTGGGAAAAGCTTTGACCTGGGATGAGGATTCCACCTAAGGGACAGTAACAACTGCGAAGGGCTTCTAACCGGAATGGGTCGGTTGGAGGAGAGTGCGGGGGCAAGGAAGATCCTCAAAGTTTCTTGGTCTTAGAGCCCCCCTCCCCCACCTCCGGAAGTCACTCAGGTCTTACCGGGATCCCTCTCCACAACGCAAGACCAGCGCCTGGGGGGGCGGAGGCTTGATCGTTGGCCCCTCGCTCAGTTAGGGCATAGGGCCGGAAGGGCCAGAGCGCTCATCCTGGGTTAACTGTAGAGCCGGGTAGGCTCAGGCCCAGCTAAAAGCTTCTGACCCATGAGCCCCGGCCTGGGACTCTCTCGCAGCGACCTCCCAGCTCCCACACGCCCCAGCCAGCACACCTCAAGGACCAGGGCTGCTCCTCTCACAGCCGCCCCCCTGCAGCCCGCGGTGAGCCCTGGGGCAGCGCTCCAGCGGCTTTCCACACAGCCCTCAGGGGCTGGGATCGCGCCGGCTCCCGCCCTCATCCCTCGCCTGCAGAAAATTGGCAAAGTGGTAAACCGAGGCGTCATAGGCGGAGGTTGCCTGCTCCAGGCCTAGCGCTCACGCGGGAGCCATAGGGCGGCCTGCGTCTCGCAGACACGCGGAGCCAGGGCAGCGCCCAGAACTCACCCGGGGGCGTCCGGCAGGGCCATGGCTCACGCCGCGGGCCCGCGGATCCTGCGGCTCGGGCGAGAGGCCGCTACGCGCCGTAAGGCGGCGCCGGGACGCGGGCGAGGCCAGCGGCGCGCTCCCGGGAGCTAATCCCTGGGCTGGACGGGGACGATTTGAGCCAATCAGCATCCCGGGGCGGGGCCCAAGTGACGTTTTCTGGGTGGGGTGGGCCCCAAGAAGGAAGATTTTACCCCTTCCTCCCCGACGGCCTGGCAGTGTTCTCGCTCGCGGGTCGCCTAGCCCTCTTCCCCGAGCCGGGTGGCCTGAGGAACTGGAAATGAGGACCCGGGTGCGCTGCGCTGGCGGTAGCCAGGCCCCTGAGCGGGGTTGGAGCTGGTCCTAGTCTGGCTTTGAGGAGGCTGCCAGCGGAGAGGGGAGGAGAAATCCCGGAGTGGTCAGGAGGCCTAGCAGGCGGCCAGTGATCCCGGCCTTAATTCTAGCTGGGGGATCCAGGTCTTCGGAGCCTCTCATGCCACCAGTTGATGGCGCCACCCTCCGGCTTTTCTCTGAACTTGGCATGTCTCAGGTCTGGCGCCGAGGGTCCCACCCAGGCCAGAAACGAGGCTGTAAAAATCCCCTCCCCCAGCACAAAGCACAGACCGGGCATTGCACCTCGGAAGGTTCCTGCCTGAACCTCGGAGGAACGCGACCTACTGGCCAGCTCCAAGCCAGAGAGGCTAGTGGGGGTCAGTGCTGTCAGTGAGCAAGGCAAGAACCCCAAGGACAGGTCCTAGGGTTGATTTGACCCCTGGTGAGGACAAAAAAATGCCAGGCCAGGACTGCAGACCCTGAAGACTCAGGAAGTGCTCATGCTGCTGCCTTGACCAAGGAGAAGGCTTCCCCTGGCACTTTACTCCCAGCACCTGTGCTCCAACTTCAGGCCCCAATCACAAGGTGAGGGACCAGATTTCAGGGTGAAAGAGATAGGAACTTGGTCCAAATCTGCCATGAAATGGACTAAAAATAGCTGGATATTCTGGAGCAGGGAGGACTGGGTAGGGGAGGTCGGATTCCTCCTAAATGTCAGTCTGTCCTGAATCATTCTCTGCCACCATTCGACTCCCCAAACAGAGAGGCAACTACTGTTTTTTAATAGAAGTTTATTCCCAAAACAGAGCGCGGCTTCACGGAACAATTTACACAGACAGGAAAAAGGGGGCCGCTGGGCTGGAGGAGGGGACCCCCAGAGAGGGGCATCTACAGAACCTAGGGCATAGCAAGGACACTCTTCCACCTATAGCAGGCTACTCAGCCCTTCAAGGACTGAGGTCATTCTGGGAGGAGAGCTTGGATCCTGGCTGGTGGAATTTGGCACCAGTCAGTGAAGTAGAATTTTAATCTCCTAGGAAACTGCCTCCCAAGAGTTTGCATAGAGTGGAGGGTGCAGAGGTGTCTGTGCAGACCACCCTCCACCCTACACAACCAATGTCCCCAGTGGCAAGAGGGTGCTTACTCTTGAGGCCTTCTGTGTCTGCTATCAAACAGGGGACTCAGGGCTGGCCTTTGGCCTGGGAGAGCTGGGGGTTAGAAACCTCCTCAAGATGGCCAGTTCTAGGGTCTTCACTGGGGGGGAGTCCTCCAAGCCCCCCTCCTACTTTCCCTACCTTTCACTTGTAAACAAAGGGGGGGAAAAACCATTCTTAACTGTAAACAAAGTGTGAAAGTTACAAGTTTAACATTGTAAACAAAATTTTAAATTTTTTTTAAAAATCTTGACCTGTAAACAAAGTAACAAAATTTTAAAGTCCCCAGTTCTGACAAAGTAACAAAAAGGAGAGTTTTGGGAACAGGGTCCTAACAGTCATTTTTCCCTTTTTAAGGGAATAAAGGAGGAGTGGAACTGAGTCACTTCCTGCAGCCCAGGTGCCCAGGGTCAGGGAGGATCCTGTAAACATGGGAGGCAGTGGCACCTACATTCTGGGTCTTGAATTCCCTTGTTTCTGCTCCCTTTGCTCACTCTCCCACTCTGCCCTTGAGAATAAATTCTGGCAGGGGGCAGTGTCAGGGAATGAAATGGCACCACAGACAACTGCTCACAGCAGAGGCATGGATAGGGGAATGACCCCTCTACCCACTCTCTGCAGGGATGTCTGACTAGAGGCCTGAGCCCCTCCCCTGGGAGACAGGGAAGCCTTGCTCTGTAAACACGACATCTGCTGCTCCACCAGCGCCCCACAGCATCAGTCCTAGGTCATAAGGCAGTAAGTGGCAGGGACTCCATGTAATAAACACACACATCCACAGGAAGGGGCGGCATGAGTGAGTCCCCAAGAGGAGGTCAGAGGACCCCTATTTCCAAGATCAACCCCCAGCCCCAGAAGTTTAGCCTTTGGGGCAATTGAGAAAAAGCAAAGAACAATGCTGTACTCTGGGCCCCTGACAATATTCAGATCAACCTTGGGGGTAGAATGGGGAGGAAGGCATCTGTCTCACCTGTCTGACTCCACCTTAGAAAAATGAGAGGAAAGAGTACAGTATATGGTTTGCTTGGGACCCAAATGGAGCCAAACTCTGCATCTCTCTTCCTCTGCCCCCTTCCCCTCTCCCCGTCCAGCCTTAGACCCCGGGGAGACAGAAAAGCTGAAAAATAACATAAGCATATCTCTCTGGTTACAAAGATACAAAACATATAAAAGTCCTCCCTTCAGTATCCCCTCCCACACCTGTCCCACGCATGCTCACAAATGTGCATGGAACCTCAGTACAGCTGGCCGCAATCGGGAGAGCTGGGAGTAGGGGTAGGAGGCTGCCTTGGGATCAGCCCCTGACTCCTGGAGACTCTTCTGTTAGCCCAAATCCTCCATCGCCCTTGGCTGTTCCTTGTCCACACTGTCGGCCCCTCAGGAGTGACCCTCACTTCTGGGAACTCTGGAGAGTTGCATGTGAAAATCAAAGGTCAATGCTGAGAGGACTCTAAGTCAGGTGGCTCTGGGCTCTCTCACCACACTTGGTCTGGTCTGCCTCCCCTTAACTCCACCATTAGCCTTGCCTCTCAGCCCCCAGCCCCCTCATGCCCACTCTGGGGCTCTCAGAGTCCATTTTTGGACCCCCAGACACCAGAAAGGCTTCTAAGCCATCTAGGTCTTTTCTCTAAGTGCTTCAAAATCACCTGCTATGTATAGATGCTATCCTAAGCACTTGACAGATACTGTCTCATAAATCTCCACATCTCAGTGAGTTTGTACTATAGACCCTTCTTACAGATAAGGAAAACTGAGGCTCAGAGAGCCTTGTACCTGCCCAAGGTCACACTGCAAATGAGGTAAGACACAGAGCTGAAACTCAGACCTGTGTGACTCTAGAGCCTGAAGCCTTGCTCAGCCTCCAGTCCACCTCCTACAGCCAGACCCCAAGGCTAGACTGCAGGGGAACCCAAGTGGTGGGTCAGCTCCTCTCATCCCCACACCCCAGCAGTCCTCAAAGCCCAGGGACCAGGGCCCCAAAACCCCCTACTCCTCCCTCCTTCCTTTGACCTCTCCCAGCACTAGGTTCTGCTCAGTTCTGTGGATCCCCAGCCATTTCCCTGGGAGCCCCTTTTGCCCAAAGCCATCTCTTACCCTACAAACCCCACAGAGTCTGACCAGATGTTTCTACTCCTTGAGACTCAACTCTCCTTTTAGCTTACAAGACCTGGCAACTCTTGGTTCCTCCCTATTCCTAACACTCCTCTGACTCCTGTGTATTCAGTTGCTTCAGGGCATGTCTGTCATCTCCTACCCCACAGATAACCCCCAGGCAAACTAAGATGCACCAGGTCCCAACTTAACTCCTGTGAGCCCCACCCCACAGTGCCCACAGGCAGGAAGAAACTAATATTGACCAAATAAATCAATGAATTAATGATTTACTCTCAACAAAGTTAGCTCTTCAGCCTGGCATATTCTGGCACCACTTCCAGCCCCCTCCTTAATCCCACATATCCCCCTAAGCAAAAACTCTTCCTTTCTTCCATGTCCCTTAAAGATACCAAGTTACCTCCTACTTCTAGACCTCAGCTCCTGTCCTCCACCTTCACTAGATCAAGCCCTTTGAAAGGTACCTATCTCTCAATCATATGGCCAGCAAGACCCTGCAAGTCACACCCCCATCTCCTGCCAGATTTCTGTTCCCAGCCTGTGGCTCCCTGGCTGTGCTGAGCCTGGGGTAGCCTGCACTGTCTGCCAGCCCTCATTCACCCCATTCTGTGGCAGGATGCAGGGCAGAGTACACAGTAGGCTGCCCTAAGCTGATGAGGGTGTGAGCAGGTAGATGGACCATGCTTACTCTGAGTCTGGAGATAGCTCTGAGATGCTGTGAGACGTGGCAGAGCGTGGCGTGGAGGGCCCCAGTGCAGAGGCTGTGGCAGAAGGCGTAGCAGTGGTGTGAGGGCCAGAAGGCGTGCTTGAGGACTGCACAGAGGAGAGTGCTGAGGAGTTGAAAGAGGCAAGGATAGAGGAGAGAATGTCCAGCTGCTCTGTGGAGGGGCCATGGCTGGGGCCACTGGCTGGGTGCTCCCTAGCTCTGAGCAGCTGTGGGGGTGGCCCAAGGGCCTCTCGTGAGGGATGCCGGCTAGGCACCTGGTCCAGCTGCTCCCGAGAGTTCGAACTCCTAGACAGAGAGTCCAGAGGCCGAGATGGCAAGAGGGGGTCCCTTGAGAGTTGCCTCTGGGGAGACAGGGGCAGAGGCGGGGGCTGTGGGTCAAGGTCTCGGGTACGGCAGGGCGGGGGCAGTGTGCTCAACCACTCTCGAGGTGCCCCTAAGTCCAGCGCATCCCGTGACCCAAAGCGGCCAGCCATGGCACTAGGGTAGTCCCGGGGTGGCTGCCTCCGTGGCAGAGTGCTGCCCCGATCTCTGAGCTCCAGACGGCCCGGTGCACTGTCCACATTTTCCTGGGAACCTGGCCGGCTCAGGGGATGCAGGATAGGGGCAGGGGCCTCCTCTAGTTGCTCACGGCTGAGTTGTCGCCGGAGGAGCAGGTCCAGCTGTTCTCGGGAAGAGTAGCGACTAGCTGGCTGTGAAAGGCTGCCTGTGCCCCCGCCAGCATAGATGCGACCGTAAGAGGCAGCTGGCACCGCACGGTGGCCCA